GATTGCCTCAGGACACAATCCAGTCTTGTAGACCAGGTCCTGTCTTACTAACACAACTGCCACCCATCCTCCCTCCTTAACATCATAGAGGCAGGTTTACAACATACAGGAAAATCACACAGTACCAGGAATCATGGCCTGGCCAAATTGATACACACATTTTTTGGGGGACATAATTCAAACCATGACAGACGGGAACGCAGCCATTAAGGCTTACAGAAGTGAACATAAAGTCCCCAAATACAGAAAAAAAAAAGCCAAACCCATGGCCGTTGAGTCCATTCTGACTCATAGCAACCCTATAGGACAGAGTAGAACGCCCCACAGGAATGGCTGGTGGATTTGAACTGCCAGCTTTTGGGTTAGCAGCCCAGCTCTTAACCACTGCGCCATCAGGGCTCCCCAAATACAGAAGCATCTTTAATACACTGAAAAGAGTGAATTGTTAATGTCCTAAATAATGATATATTTGTAATTGCCTCTCTTGAGTGGAGATAATTGTCTTGGTTAAAAACAGTGGTTCATAGTTCATCTTCTGCAGAATGCTAATAACCAAATAAATTTTATAGATTACACAAAAAATTTCCTTTCCCTGATTTTGACTCTACTGCTTTTACTGTACCATGAGTATGCTTTTCATTTCATAACATTCTTACAGTGTCTTCTTTCTTTTCTTTTGCCAAAGGGCCCTCATCCTTGTATACACTTGATCTTGTCATTTTATATGCTGGTTTCTCTTCCTGTCTTCTGTTTATTTAATCTTCTATCCTTATCCACCCCTTCATCCCTCCCCCAAAAAGGGGAGAAAAAAAGGCCTTACAGCCAACAAAGAAAAAACTAGATGTTTTAATATAAACCCAGTAAGCCCTTAAAAGAGTCTTGGTGGGCTTTAGAGATCTTAGCCAGGGTCCTTTTTGGGAATTAATGGAATTGAAAAATATTTTCCATTTTTGTGAATTTGTTAATGACTTGCATGACGGAGTCCTTTGTACAAGGAGGGACTGTTTCCGTTTTACTGTTCTGTACAGTGTGGAAGACCGTTCGTCCCTGTGCTCTGCAGTGATCACTCTTGTTTGTAAGAGGTAACAAGGCAGAAAGAACAGGTACATGACGTTCTCTTACGTCATTGCTTTCTCCGGTAGGATTGTTTATGCGATCTAGGAAGTATATTACAGGTGTGACTTACTCTCTGTACGTGGGATAAAAACCTTCTCCCTCCCGTAGTAGGTTTGGAGGGAGGCAATGAAGTAGGTGGTGGTGGTGGCAATTTTGATCTGATACTGTTTTCTTTCATATGTTTTACCCTCCGAATACGTATTAAGAAAAAAAAACATTATTAAACTTCACCATTGATACGTGCTTGCATAGGTGCTTGTATGCATACATATCCTTTGTTTTGTTTTTAACTTTGAAGTGGTAGTTACCACGGGAGATTTATTTTCTTCCCTAAAGACAGACGGGACTATGTGACTGGAGTTGGGAGAGAGTTTGGTGGCACTCATCTGTCTACCTTGACAGCCTCCTGTTTTCTTGGTGAGGGTTGTGGAATAAGTCCCCTCCAACCAGTGGCAAGATACGCCTTGAGTTAGATTTGATGTGATGGTCCGATCCTGATTTCCCCAGGTCAGGTTCCAAGCCTCACTGTTTGTTAACACTTAAGAGTGTGTCTTCAGATCCTTCAGACATCTGCTCATGTCAGTAGTCAGGCATGCCTTTTGGAAGGAAGTAGTAGGCTTCCAGCTCCTATATGTGTGGCATTGTTAGTCGAGTGGAGAGGAGACTCTCTCTTGGGGATCAGTGTTTCCCAAAGTGAAAGAAAAATTGAGTGATCAAATAAGTTTGGGAAGTTCGCTGCAGCCTCATCTTGGAGATTTCCGGTACGTGTTAACATGTCACAGTCTTTTAAGTCTTGCCATAAAGAAAGCCATTCATTTGTTTAACTCAGCGTTTCCACAAACTTACTTGAAAAGAGGTTGTGATGATCACATATATCGGATATTCTGAGATACTAATGTTCCAGAGGGACAGCCTTTGAGGAAGGTGCAGAGAACATAGATCTTCCTATAGTTTGGATCCTGACCTACCCATTTGCAGAGTTAAAGCAGATTGGAGAGGAGCCTAGAATAAATGGAAAGAATGTTTTTATTCTGTGTGTCTTGCTTCTCATGCTACAAAATTAAATTCTTTATGGTTTTCATCTCCCTCTTCAGAGTTGTCTATGTATTTGGTCCCCCCGTGAAGGAACCCCCCACAGATGTTACTCCTACATTCTTGACGACGGGGGTGCTCAGCACTTTACGCCAAGCTGACTTTGAAGCCCATAAGATCCTCAGGGAATCGGGTGAGCTGCTCATCTTATCTGTTGCTGCTACTGTGACTTCTAGCAGAGGGGCAGCCTTTGCTTTTTAGTTGCTTACACTTTTATTGTTAAATTCTGTCGGTGGTTCTCTAATGCTGCCTTCTAAGTAAATTGTATTCCTTCTCTTTGAAGGGCTTGGTGCCTGTTTTAAGAATATATGTTACGTATGTTGAGTATGTTTTGGGAAGCATGATTATCATTCTGCTGAATACAGTGTGCAGACTTATACACGAACACTGTATTCAAGCATGTGTGGTATTCCTTAATCTGCATCCCTTCCTCTGCCACATCCAGCTCCCCTCTCCCACCAGTCCTACGAAAATGCCTTGCACCAAAAAAAGCAAAACACAGCAACAACAAAAAAAACAAACAACTGACTGCCATCGAGTGGATTCTGACTCAGGGGGAATTAATGGAATTTAAAAATATTTTTTAAATATTTACCTTCCAACCCTTACCCCACACAAATACAAACAAATCCCCAAAACCCCATTGGGGTTTCCAGGGCTGTAAGTCTCTGGGGAAGCAGATTGCCACCCTTTCTCCCATGGAGCCACTGGTGGGTTTGAACTGCCGACCTTTCGGTTAGCAGCCAAGCGCCTTAACCACTGCACTACCAGGGCTCTTTAAAATGCCTTACAAGCTAAGCTATACCTGTGAAAGGCCATATTACGGCTTTCGTCTTTTGCTTTTTTGTGTGCGTTTCTGTGTATGGAGCTACCTTCAAGCACATAGCTTCAGGATTTATTTTTGTCGGCTAAAGGCTTTTGCTTTTGGTCCAATATAGGAGAACAAGTTACTTTTTTTTTAATGACCAGTATGGTGAACACTAGGTCTTATTGACATCTTAGGGAAAGGTGAGAAGATTGGAAAATATAGTGTCTCAGATTAGGAAAATTGTCTGTTTTTTCCTTCCACTTTGGTCATCAAGGTTGGGTCTCAGGCTGGTGACTTCTTTATAGCCTAGTGAATAAGAAAATTGTCAAAGGTGCACTCATGTTTCTCACACTCTCAAAATACCATCCTACTCTTGAGGAGAAAAATGAGCTGCTCAGGCATTGCTTTCAAATGACGTAAGTGCGTAAGCAGAGCACCATCACACGTTCCCAGAGCCTGTCGGGAGAAACCTAGAGAGGCCACCCCTCAGTCCTCACAACTGGACCAATAAGCAACATCATGATAAACAGAGAAAAGATTGAAGTTGTCAAGGATTTCATTTTACTTGGATTCACAGGCAACACCCATGGAAGCAGCAATCCAGAAATCAAATGACGTATTGCATTGGGCAGATCTCCTGCAAAAGACCTCTTTAAAGTGCTAAAAAGCAAAGATGTCACTTTAAGGACTATGGTGTGTCTGACCCAAGTCATGGTGTTTTCAGTCGCTTCATATGCATGTGAAAGCTAGATAATGAATAAGGAAGACGGAAGAAGAATCGATGCCTTTGAACTATGGTGTTGGCTAAGAATATTGGATATACCATGGA